TGTTTGTTTCCTTCCGATCCACCCCCCTCCCAGTTCGCCCCCGCCCAAGTTGGTGGAGTATTTCCCCCCCCTTCCGAAAGCAGCACCATGTTCGGATTCAAGCCTTTCCGGGCCCGGCCCCCCCTTCGGAAAAGGCCCCCCCCCCTTTCCGTTCCCCCGTAGGACGTCTTCAATTCGGAGGAGCCCCGCGAGCTCAGGAAGACTGGGGGGGAGACGTGTTTCTTTGGGGGGACCAACCGGGGGGGGGCCCTCCCCCCGGAGTTCACCCATTAGGACGCCCAGGTGTGTGCGCGCCCCGGCGGGGGGGGGGGGGGGGGGTACTCATAGTCGTGCATGCCGTAGTCGTTAGACCATTGACCTCGCATCCCTACAAAGCCGGGACGGAGCACGCCGGGTTCTCACCGGACCAGGCTGTCACATCACCAAGCGCGAAGCGCCGTGAGGTACTCGACGAGTCGCATGAAGGGTGAGCTGCATCCTGCTAAGGGTGTTCGGCTTGTGCTTACTTCCTTGCATACGAATGACAGCTGCGTATGACTTAATTTATTTTGTGGTGCTTTCACTTCCAGAGACAGTTGTAAGCACTGTGTAACAGCCTCGAGGATGCTTGACCATCTTAACACCAACGTGGTGCGATCATCCCCCTTGCGCGGAATGAGGCTTCTCGACCACGCACAACATGATCTACTCGACCACCATTCATGGTTACCGCAAAAAAAAAACAGAAGTAAACAAAAAAACGGTAACCTGGTTGCCGAGTTCACGAAGTGACTTGGCTTGTTTTACAACGTCGTTGCCAAGCGACGAAAACCCAATCCCGGATGGCAAAACACCGGGGGGGGGGCGGCTTGTTTTACAGCGTCGTTGCCAAGCGACGAAAACCCAACCCCGATGGGCAAAACACCGGGGGGGGCGGCTTGTTTTACAACGTCGTTGCCAAGCGACGAAAACCCAACCCCGATGGCAGAACACCGGGGGGGGGGGGGGGCGCTTGCCGCGATAAGTGGCCCAACAATGGGAAAGACCCCACCGTCACCGTATAGTTAGGGTACTATACCGCCGAACGCGCTTCTAACGGTGTGGGGCGGTTG